TTAATATGCCTCTAAAATTTATCTCCTTGAGTGTACTCAACAAAAGATAAATTTTAGTTAAGTCGAACCCATCATTCAGAAATATCCAATATTTCATAGCATCAAACATATCCCTAATAGACCAGCCTTGAGTGTACTCAACAAGTTAAGATGATTTGAGACTCTGATTTTTCACTATAATGATGGAAGGCAATTATAAATGTGACTTAATATATTGTTGAGGGGTTTTGCATTTAAAAGTCATATTGTAACAATCGTATATGTTATATTACATATCTACCATGCAAATAAATATATATATATATATATATAATAGTGTGTACGATTATGGACTTTACTATTTAGTCTTCCCGACCCATAAGGAATACTAGTTGGTCAATTCCTAGGGGGTATTACATTGATCAGTATCAATCCACCATTTCCATGGTCTCCTCCTCTTCTTGTTTCTTCAATTAGTCTAGTTGCAACTTGTATTCTAAACTAGTTGGCATGCAGGCCTAAATGAAATTGGACTCACATGCCCATAGCAACAATAATAATAACGGACTCGCAGGTCCAAAATGATCAAGAGCTCGTAGGCCCAAAATAATAACAAAAATAACAGGCTCGCTGGCCCACAAAACAACAAGAATAAAAATCAACAATTCAACACATCCACATGGTTGAGTCCATAATCATCTGCTAATAATGCATTTATCACATAAATGTATTCTTATATGATATCTAATATTATATGCAAACATGTCTCAAGTTTCTAGCAATTAAGGTCGTCTAAACTCTTTTAAACAAATGGATCGGAACAATTAAATAACTAATCAATCATATTAATCAATTAATTTAATTAGCGGGCATATTTAATTAGAATCAAATTTTAATTAAATATCGAAGTGGAGTCCAACTCAAATTTCACAATTATAATTATAAGGCGGGATTATTTAATTAAAATCAAATTTCAATTAAATATCAAATTAGAGCCCAACTCTAGTTTCATAACTTAAGGCGGTTGAATTTAATTAAAATCAAATTTTAATTAAATAGTAGAATTAGAGTCCAACTCTAAATCTAAGATTTTTAGGGCCAACTCATTTAATTAAAATCAAATTTTAATCAAATGCCAAATTAGAGTCTAACTCTAATCTAAAGAAAAGTTTAGGGTGAAATAATTTAATTAAAATCAAGTTTTAATTAAACGTCAAATTAGAATCCAATTCTAATTTCTAAAATATCTTCGGGTGAAAAATTAATTAAAAACGAATTTTAATTAAGTCTTAAATTAGAGTCCAACTCTAATTTAGATTGAATAAATATTTTAAACTAGGATAACACTCCTAAATAAAATAAAATTCAATTGGGGTCAAAGTTTAATATTTAAGTTAAAATCCAATTTTAACGAAAATATAAAAAGTTGTAAATTTTCAATAAGATTTTAATTTAAGTCAAAATTAAAATTCTAGTCAAAATAGGTCAAAATCCACTTAAAACCATTTTAATACTTATATTCAAAACACCTTTAGAAATGTGCAATTTGACCCATTTTAAAAATTATGAACAGGCCCTCCAATTCACAAAATTGCAAAGATGCCCTTCAATAAAATAATTGCAACCTTGACCCCTTAAAACAAATTGCCAAAAGGGGTCCTTAATATTAAATATTGCAAACCGATCCTCATTTAAAAATTAACAAATTGACCCCATAAGGATATTGCAAACGGGGCTTGCAATTTCACGAATTGCGTCAGAGGCCCCTGCCTCCATTTCACCCAAAACCAACTGAAACCCTAAAAAATATATATATTTTTTCTTTTGGCGGCCTCCTTGCAGTACCCGGCAGTAGACACTGCTGTACCTGCTGCCATGTTCAACAGCAGCGCCGCACGCTGCTGTAAGAAGCAGCCGGGCGCTACTTCCATTGTAGCAGCGCCCGGCGCTGCCCATGCCTGGGCAGCAGAGTTTCCCGCTGCCGGCTGCCCAACGCCGGCGACAACAGCCCCCATCCATTATTTTTTTCTTAAACCAAAAATACTATTTTCTTTTTCAAAACCAATTTTGAATATGAAAATTAATTTTTCTTAATTGCTAGAAACATGAAAAATAATAACAATCAATTTTTGATTGTCCCTATATGTAGATTAATTCTTAACAAATACAAAGTAGGCTTTGATACCACTGTTGTGAATCTACTTAATATGCGCATCGAAAAATTAAAAATAATTTTGATTCCCACCAAGAATTGCCTTTGTGTTTAGATAGAAATTGTGATAAGATTGTACATTCTCTAGATCTGCAAACTTTTTTGCTATTCTTTTCGTTCCAGCAATCTTGATTCGCCACATACAGCTATCCAATTGTCCAGCCTCCAACGGTGATCCATACAGAGAACAAGATTGCAGCTACCAGGGTTTTCTCTTCTTGTGCTAGCAAGAATAATTATGAGAATAACCACATGGATTGAAAACTCTAGCCATGTATTTATGTAAGCCCAAACGGATCCGGTCCGGTCCGGTCGAATATTTAATTAATCCATTTAATTAAATCTGGTCCGTGAATTAATTAATCTAATTAATTAATTCGGGCCTATAAATAACCAAACCAATTAATTAATTTATCCAACGATTGTTAAATTAATTAATTGACAAATTGCAATCTTCCAATTCTCTTTTGTGTGCGACCCATCAGGTTCCAGATTACGATGCCTAACGACGTGAAATATTATTTTGATCTAATCAAAATTGATAAATTAAAACATCCTTTTAATTTATCGTCAATTCACACTCGTCCTCCCAGATTGACATCTAGCAATGTGTCAGGGCAATACGTGTGACGGGAAATGTCATGTGGTATGACAAAACCAAACGTGTTCGTTTATCGTGAAACTATAATCCCTTCGTCAATATGATCCGATCAATTACAAGATATGGAAGTGTGTCGATCTCGATTATCGATCATATCTTTCACTCCGCTATTAAGTCAATATAAGTCGAAAAAACTCCTTTTCGGCTTATGAATACACCTTGATCAAGGATTTCGTTATCGGCTTAATTGAATGAAACGCAGATCATAGTCTCTTACTATCTAAGAGTGACGAATCCTCTATTAGTCATTCACAACTTTCATATGAATATTGACATACCCGAACGATGCCGTATTAGCAGCCCTTGGTAGAGCTACATCTAATATCGTCAAAGCATGACTGTCCTCATATACGGTATTATGATGAACTCAAGTCAAAATGACTAATCCCACTATCAAACGTTAGAAATTAACCACTGACACTTAGATAGTTATCCATATGGAATCTCTCGGTGGGTCTCCAATGTTTTGCTCTATAACAAAACATCCACGTGTTCATTTAAGTGTCACCACACTTTAACTTGTGAGATCAGCTACTTACTTCATAAGTAAGAAATGCCACACGTGATGGTCTATCCGTAATAACGATATCCGTATCTCGTTATTACTTACGACCACGGACGATTTAAGATTCAATTAGATGTAATTTGTATCTCACAATCATAACTCCTTGTGATTAATAAATTACGAAGATTTGAATCTACGGACTCTATTATTTATTTAATTGTCTATTAATTAAATAATAGATCTACTATTAAATTGTATTAATTATATATCAAAAGTATTAATGTCCAAAATTGATTGGACCTAGGGCATAATACTTACAGCGCATACCTCATATGTGGGGCATTTTGAAAATGTATCTAGCGTATGCACACATATGCGAAGTATATGAGCACATTTTAGAACATTAATATATATTTTTTATTTTTTATTTTTTGGAAAAGAAAGTCAATCTGCTGTAGTTCACAAAAAGGTCTAACCAGTAGTTTCCTTGCAGTTTACTTTGACCTTGCAAAGAAGAAGAGCAAGAAGAGGAGCTTAGACAATCCATTTCTCACTTTTTCTTTTTTTTTATTCCAGCTTATAATTGCTCTCATAATTTTCTATGCTCAACTGAAAAGTCCTGTAAGAAAACCACCTGTTCATCTTCAAGCTTGCTTTTTGTGGGGGGAGGTGTGGTATGGTGAGCGGCAGAGAGCTAATTTTGAGAGTGAAAAATCAAGAATAATAAGAGGATTTACTTTAGATCTCGGGTCACGAGACTTGTGGTGTGATATTGCAGTTCATTTCATATAGCACTTGATTTCTAACTTGTTTATTCTTAATCCTTGCATACTGAAAACTAAAAAATAAAAATCTTGATGTTGCTCTGGATTTTTGGGCTTGTTTTCTTGGGCTATAAGAGTATTTGAGTTTTTGGAGGGTTTTTTAATACTGTAATGGGGATTTGCTTGAGCAACCAAGTCAAGGCTGAGAGATCTTTTCATATTGGTACAGTTGTTTTTTCTGACTTTCTCAATCCATTTAGCAATAGACTAGAATGCCTTGCTCTTTATTATTGTTTCAGAAGTATAATTTGTGACATATGAAGCCGTTTGTGTTTCTTAGTTGTCTATAGCAGCAAGTGAAAAAAGAATTCGCCTCCTCTGTATTTGCTTTGTTAAGGGTAATTGGTCTTTAATTTTCTATTGAACCGGCCAAGAAAGAACAATAATGTAGGTATCGAGATTAGAGATCCTGCTTGGCTGATTTTCTCGTCAATGGTTTCATTTGGGGAAACATTTGATATATGCTTGAATTCTATATATTCTTAAGAAATCTAATTTATGTTCGGTTCAACAGTCAATAAATTATGTTGGCAAAGGAAAGTGCTAATTTTGAATTCGTGGGATATATCATTTTATTACAATCAAAATATTTGATCTAACTGGAAATATATGTAGGTGGTATTTCTTCTAAAAATGCCTGTGGAAATGGGAACGGGCTAAGTAATCCAAGCAGCAAGGCTTCATCTGCTTCTGTACTCTCGACTCCTAAGAGTGAGGGTGAGATCTTCTAGCCCTCCAACTTGAAAAGCTTCACATTCAACAATCATATCATAAGTGCATCCATTCCTTTTTCTACCTCCTCGAAGTCAATTATTCAATGTTTTATTTTCTTTCTAATTACAAATAATTTAAATTTATAGTCTGAGAAGTTTTGAAGAAATAAACAAGATTGTCACAGCAACTTATTAAATTTTAAGCTAGAATAATTCTATATTTGAATCCGATAAAACTATAAAAAATTTGATTACCGTTTGAGAATGTAGCATCTGACAAAGACGCAACATTAACAATGTTAAATGGGAATCAAATGATATTTAGACCCAACTAACACTTAGAGGTGTATATGTAATTAAAATAATCAACCAAAAGCAACAAGTCATTTATTTATTGTTTCTAGATAATTAAGTTTAATATTAAATTAACCCCTAAGAATGTGTTTGATTGCAAGTATGAAACTTGTATGAAAAGAAAATAAGGGTGCGATTGGTTTTTCGTTTTTGGGCCATTTTCCGTTTTCCGTTTTCGAAAACGCGGAAAACGCGTTGGTCCGTCGTTTTCGAAAATGAGTAAAAATTTATAACTGAAAACGCAAAACAACTTTTTATCGTTTTGAGCGTTTTCAGTTATAAATTTGCCAAAACGCTCAAAACACGGAAAACGGACTGTTTTCGGGAAAAACTAAAAATCGTTTTGAAAATGAAAATGGAAACCAACTACTACCTAAGTTTTTGGCACATGAAAAATGTCAATTAATTGTGTTTGATTGTCTTAGTTTTCTACCTAGAGAATGTTATATTTTTCCTTCTTTTTCTGATTAGTAGCTATTATTTTCCATAAAAATAGTCATTTCTTCTAGTTTTGTTTGTTTTATAGACATTATTTTCCATGAAAATTATCACTTTTATCATGAAAATTAGTCATTCAATTTTTAGAAGTACCATTCACATTGTGCTTTCACAATTATATGGACACTGGTCCTACCTTGCAAATAAATACTATTGCCTGTACACCATGATTATGATTTTTTAAAGAAGCCCTGTTTTGACGATGATGTCATAGAAATTAATAAAATTTCTAGCAGATAAAGAAAATGGCCTCACAAATTCTTATTTCTACGCATATACCGGAATTCCTGATTGTAAATTCCAATCAAATGTAATTATTAAATAATCAGTTCACTAATGAACAGAGTTTGTCCAATGTAGTACATAACAAAAACAAAATCCAAAAAATCTCTATTGCAAGAAATAAGCAATTCAAAGCAACATAAATATCATAATTTTATGTTATGGCTGTTGAATTATCCTAGCATTCATGGTTGTTCAATTATCAATGTCATCCGGAGGTGGATAACAACCAAGCTTCTCAACTACCAAATCACGCATGAATTCTTCATCAACGAAGCTCATAAATTATCTAGCCAAACTCTCATCAAACTGAAATACTTTCATGATTTGCATGATGTCACGCTGGTCTATATTCGTGCCTTGTAGTTTTTCTAGAACCAATTGCCAATTGACGTGGTTTAGTGTATCTAACGATGCTTTAATCTCTATAGCATTAGCAATTTTTTTAGATGATTCGACAATGCTCGATAGGGCAATGAGACTCTCATCACTTGGTTGAGTCCATTGACATTGGATTTTGATGGTTCGTCCTTCGGCGATACATTTCAGAGCTCGAATTGGGCTTTGATCCAAATCCTCATTTTGACCATCAACTTCATTCACATTTTCATCTGAAAAGTAACAAGAAAAAGAATTTTTTAGAATCTTCTATATAATATGCATCTTTCATTTTCAGCAAAAAATTGCCAAGAGGCACAAGCATAAGCATAAACAAGTGCAAGCATTAATCAACTCCTCATATCTAATACGGATAATAATCATCCCAATATATCATTCCAATTAGTATTCAAAGAACAGAAATCTGTGCGTTGGTTTTGTAATCTGAACATAAAATTGATGAGAGAAGTTACTGAGATTCCTATCATCCCAACTCAGCCAACGTCTCCAGCACAAATCTCCATAAGATTGAAAAACGTTCTAGACAACACTTCTTTTCCCCCAACATCTCCAAGATTACAACACTTCTTTGGACACCACACGATATGCTTTTTCTAATTACTGGAAACAATACGCAATTTTATTTTTTCTCTATTCTTTTCAATCAATATTTTCATAGGTAAATGGATTCTACAGTAATCTCCATCAAAGACAGCCAAATAGGTTTTGTCTCATCTACATTGTCATTATAGCCTATGTCATATCTAAGACTAGGATTCTTATAGGATAATTAACATTTCTAACAAAAATAAAGAGTGACAAATCATCCACAACAGACATTCCATTAAATAATCTATCAAGATAATTCCTTCATGGGGACCTCATCTCTATAAAGTAGAACTCGCTCATTTTCATCTTCAGTACACTTCACTTGGTTTAGATCTCTATTTCTGTCCATCCCCTGCTAAAATATCTGCAAAAACCTTTCCATGCATCCTACTAATTTATTTGTAAAATTTTTCTCATTAAACTTCTAGACATCTGGTATACGCTCTCAACTCACCTTGAAGCACAAAAATGCAAAACTCGAACTACTTGAGGAAGCACCAGCCAATGGGAATAGAAAATAATATCCACCATCTTAGTCTACTTGAATACAGCCTAAATAAAGAAACAGAGAAAATCGTAGAAATGAATTCAAATAGTAACATGTTTCACAATATCATTTTAGTCATTCTCAATATAAAAAGAAACAGAGAGAGGACTCGTCTATAAGTAAATGTTCACTCAGAAGCATAATAACTCAATTACAAAAACTAAATATGCAGGCTAATTCCAATCCATTCAAGAAAATGCTATCATTATTTTAAGAAAACCAAAACAAAAAGTAATCCAATTCAGTTAAATCAACAAGCGAACATGAAGACAA